CCGCCCTCCTCCTCCTCCTCCTCCTCCTCCTCCTCCTCCTCCTTCTCCTCTTCCTCCTCCTTCGCCCTCGACTCCCGCTCCCTCCCCGTCCTTAGCCGCCCCCCCCCCCCTCGATCTCAGGGCTCGGCCCGCCCAGGCTCCTCCGGTTGTGGCCGGCCTCCAGGCCTCGGGGCCTTCGGAGAACGTCCCAGGACGAGGAGGAGGGCGGAGGGCGGGGAGGAGGAGGGCGGAGGGCGGAGGAGGAGGAGGAGGAGGAGGAGGAGGAGAGGAGGAGGAGGAGGAGGAGGAGGAGGGGAGGAGGAGAGGAGGAGGAAAGAGGAGGAGGAGGAGGGGAGGAGGAAGGAGGAGGAGGAGGAGGAGGAGGAGGAGGAGGAGGAGGAGGCGAGGAGGAGGAGGAGGGAGGAGGAGGCGGAGGCGGGTCGAAAGGGGTGGGACAGGGACAGGGGGGTTTACGACATCTGCTGCAAGCGGCTGGTTTCGGCCCCGCCGCCGGGCCCATTCCTCGATACATGGGCGCCTCCCAGCGCGGGGTGGCGCTGGGAAAATCAGCTTGGTGTGCTGATTCTCTAACCTGCCCTTTGCTATCCCCCCCTGCCGTTCCCCCCGATCAGGACGAAGAGCCGGTCCTGTAGGATGGGTTGAGGCCTCCGGGTGTCCATGTTGTGGAAGAGTCGTGGCGGCGCGGGGAAAGCTTTGCACGGGATGCCCACGCTGATGTAAAATTCATTTAACGTTACAACAACAAGCGGGTGCAACCGGCCATACACTCCAGATCCATTGGTCCTCTTCTTTCTTTTCCTGCTGGCGCGCGTCTCGCGCCTGGCGTTTCTAGAGCACGCGGCGTGTCCGGAGAACGTGCCAGCGCACAGCGTTTCTGGAGCGCACGCGCCCGTGCGCGGACTGCGCCTCCCTCCCCCGCCCGCCTTCGGCGAGATGTGATGCAGTCAATGATGCAATCGTGAGACTTGGATCCGTGAGCGGAGCAGTCTCTAAAGTGCCAATGTCGAGGCTGTGATGCCTCTCTTGCCTTTCGAGCCGGCTGTGCTGCCCGCTCGTGCCCACCCCGTCCCGTCGCCAGGGCCTTCGCATCCCCCTGTGGTGTTGGGATGGGGCAGCGGTCCGCCTCCCACGGCACTGCACGTGCTGTGCCGCCCTTGCTGGCAGGAGTATGTCCGTGTCCGCCTCTCCCCAGGGATCCCGTGCATAGATTTTCGGAGCTCCGCACGGGTTGTTCGGATCGGCGCGTGGCAACCCCGGCGGCGCCTCGGGCGCCGCCCCTGGCGCGCTCCGCGCGCCATGGAAGGGGGTCAGCGCCGATCCGTGGGACGCGGACATCTTCCGAAACGGACAGAACTGCACAAACATAAACTTCTGAGATCCGCGCGGATTTCTCGCTCCCGGGGGATCCCATGCAGAACCCCCCCGCAGCGGTGGCCCGAGGAGGGCGAGAGACAGTGGCAGTTGGCCTTCGGGGGGCCCCTCGCCGTCACGGCTTGACGCAGCTCGGAAACCTTGTGTATTCAGACACGAGAGGGTTCTGGGGATCGATTTGAGCTGCCGTTGTCTCAACTCCCTGCTCCGAGGTGGATCGGCGGATGCTCCTTGGCGGTCCTCTCTCTCTCTCTCTCTTCTCGGCGGCGAGCGAGGGGGGGAACGAGAAGGGGCGGGCCTTCTCGGAAGGCTCAGAAGTCCCCCCACCTTCTGAGCAGTTTTCTGAGCCTTCTCTCGAGGCACAGACGACCTCTTCGGCACAGACAACCTCTTCGAAGGCCGGAGGCCTTCTGAGAAGCCCCGCCGCCTTTGAGAGAGGGCCTCCTCCTCCTCGTCTCCCTCCCTCGCTCGCCGCCGATCTTCGTTCGCCGCTCAGGCAGCGCGGGCTCCCCTGGCCTGCGGGCCGCAGACGGCGCAGCGCCGGCGACGCCGGGAGGCGGCCGCGACGGCGGCTCGCCCCCAGCGCCGCCGGGCGCCGGCGCGCGGCAGGCCTCGCGGCAGTTCGACCTCTCTGCCCAGCCGAGACCAGCGACGCCAGGAGCCAAGGGAGGAGCAGTTGCCGATGCCGCTGCTCGTGCCGGAGGGCCTCCATCGCCACGGGCTGGACTCTCCGCGACAGCCTGGTCAGAACGCACCAGGGGAGGGGTCCAGGGAGTACGGTCGAAGCCCAGGGTAAGGATGGGTCACCTTCCCGCTATCGAGGGTATCCTTGCATCTGTGCTCTTTTGGTCCATCCCTGACTACTTTCGACGGCCCGCCGCTCTCGAAGAAGCTTCGACACGGGCGTCCAAGGGGCTTGCATCCTTCCCGCGTAGTTTGACTATCAGTTTTGACTGTATCTCTGTGCCCCCCCCAAAAGGAAGCGGCCGCGAAGGCGGCTCGCCCCTGGCGCCGCGGCAGCTCGACCCCTCTGCCGAGCCGGGGCCGGCGACGCCAGGAGGCGGCCGCGACGGCGGCTCGCCCCCGGCGCCGCTGGACGCCAGCCAGCAGCGTGCTTCGCGTCAGTTCGACGTCGCCGCCCAGAATGGTTGGCCAAGACCAGCTCGAGGGGAAGAAACGCGCTGACAGTTCGCGGCCAGGCAAGTGTCCACTGCACAATCGGGAAACGTAAGACTCGAGTACGCCGGAACTCGGGTTTGCCGAAGCTTTTTGACGAGCGCGTCCTGAATTTTGGCGGTCAAGTCAACTTTCAGACTGGGTCTCGTCATTTTCATGATGGCCCCGTCAGGCCAACCCGAGTCCCCTGAACCCGAGTCATACGTCTTCTCGATACTACGTTACGTTTGTCTCACTGTCGAATGGCGGCCCAATCATACCGTATGCATACATGTCTGTATATATGTATGAACATATGTGTGTATGTATGCATGCATGCATGCACATATGTATGTATGTATGTATGTATGTATGTATGTATGTATGGATGGATGGATGGATGGATGGATGTATGCATGCATGCATGCATGCATGCATGTATGTATGTATGTATGTACGTATGTAATTATGTATGCATGCATGCATGCATGCATGCATGCATGCATATGTGTGTATGCATGTATGCATGTATATATGTATGTATGTATGTATGTATGTATGTATGTATGTATGTATGTATGTATGTTTGTTTGTATGTATGTATGTATGTATGTGTATGTATGTATGTATGTGTATGTATGTATGTATGTATGTATGTATGTATGTATGTATGTGTGTGTGTATGTATGTATGTATGTATGTATGTATGTATCTATGCACGCCTGTCTGTCTGTCTGTCTGCCTGTCTGTCTGTCTGTCTGTATGCATGCATGCATGCATGCATGCATGTATGTATGTATATATGGTTGTATGTTTGTATGGTTGCATGGTTGTATGATTGTATGGTTGTATGTATAGATATATGGACGGATGGATGGATGGATGGATGGATTAATGTATGCATGTATGTATGTGTATATATGTGCGTATATATATATATATATATATATATATACCGATGTTTATGCGATGTGTATGCAAAAATCACGATGTTTATGTGTTTATCGATACGTATATATGTATGTACATATATATATATATATATACATATATATATATATATATATATATACATGTATGTGTATGCAAACAAATAGGCTGAGCCCCCTCCCGGGGCGTCCTCCACCTCGATCACATCTGGGTTAGGCTCCCGGTACCGCGCTTCCCGGCCTCCTGGGGAGCCTCCCAAATGCCCAAAGACAGCCAAAGAAGACCCCAAGAATCCCCCAGAAACCCAAGACGACCCCAAGACAGCCCAAGACGACCCCGAGAGGCCCCCCAAGCCCGAAGAGGGTCAAATCGTTGATTTCCAGTGGTTTTTGTCGACGTTTTTCGCCTTCTCACGTTTTCCCGCTTCCAACGCTCCAAGCCCGAGGAATTTGAGAACAAAAATGAGATTCCAGAGATTCTATTTTTTCCAATTTCAATAAAAACGCATCCCTCCTCCCAGGGGTCCCACACCTTCCCGGAACATCTGCAGAACGCTCCCGGTACAGCGCTTCCCGACCTTCCGGGGAGCCCCCAAAGCGCCCAAGGACAGCCCAAGACGACCCCAAGAAACGCCCAGAACGTAAAGAACGGCCCAAGACGCTCCCAAGCAACCCATCCGTAGCCATTTGGGCTCAAGGCTCAAACCTGTTCCCTTGGGGTTTGAATCTTGGCTGCTGCCGACGGGGAGGCTCGAGGGCCCCTCCAGGAGCTGGAGCTTTTCACTTTTGGCTGCCACGCACATCTCCTTCCCCTTCCCTTCAGTGATGCCCGCGCGTACTCATGGTTCCCGTGGGGAGCGCCGCCCTGCATCGAGCAGTGTATCTCAGTCTGGTGGTCCTTCCAAGAGTCGGTCGCAGCGGGACCCTTCGCGTGACGCCCGATCTGTGCCATCGGCGGACAAAGTCGACCTGCTCCTCTCGAGTTTGCAAAGGCTCAGCCAACAGGTGGCGCACAGCGCTGCCGACCTTTCAAATATCAAGACGCAGATGGGCATGCAACAGCTCCGCTGCGACCAGCTCACCGCTAATATGCAGACCATGGGGAACGACATCCATAGTCGCGTCACCTACATGGAGGGCATGCACACTGCCGCTGTCACAGACCTTCGCGAGTCGCACGAGAAGGTGCATGCTCGCGTTTGTCAGCTGGAGAGCTCACCAACGCCGATGTGCAGTTCTGACGACGGGTCTTCAGTCAGCTTTCAGGTTCAGCAGAAGATTTCGGCTATCGAGTCCGAGCTGTCTTTACTCTCTTCGGCGGGATCCCAGCGATTGTCGCGCCAGGAGAACACCGTGCACACGGAGAGAATCCAGGACACTCCTACGAAGGACACTCCTACGAAGCTGGTGTTTTTGGCTTTTTTCTCGGGGGATGCTTGCTTCGACGCTTAAGACGATTGGTGAACATATTCGAGCGACATGCGCGCCGACTGCGAGCCAGACTCGGATTGTGATCAAAGCATTTGACCTTGCGAAGAAGATTTCGTTACACTTGGAGTCAGCTTCTGAGGCGAGTGACTTCCTTCTTCGTGTTGAAGCCGACGGCCTCTTCACCTGCAAGGACCCGCTCTCTGATGCTCCTCTGACTTTGCGTGTTCGACGGGATGTAGATGCTCGTCATAGGCAACTTTTCCTCAGCATGGGCCGTGTCCGTAATAATATTACACAGCTTCTGCGTCCCAGGGGCTACGAGATCAACAGCAATGGCGTCGGCGGCTGTATCCACGTTCTTCGGAAAGCTGACGACCCTGTTCCGCTGGCCAAACTTCGCTTGAACGAAGATCGGTCGGAGTTGATGATGGAGTTGGAAATGGAGGCGCTGCTGGAGGTTGGGATTTACCAGCGCGCTGAATATTTCCGCGCTGCTGCTGCGGTTGTGCGACGATCTCCCTGTCAAAACTTAGCCATGCCGTCTGGCGCCTGAGTTGCCACCGCCGCCCCCGTGCTCTGCCCCTGACTCCTCCTGTATAGTTGACGACGTCGGTGACGCTTCTTTCGCCCACCCTGATGGTCTTCCCTTCCCCCCTTCTGTGCCGCCCTCGATTTGCAGTTGGAACGCGCGCGGTCTGTTCAGTGTGTTCGCAGTGGCTCCTGGCGTGCCAGTGCTAGCTGCCACTCTTTTCTCTCCCTCGCTCGCAGATTTCATATTGTCTGCGGTCAGGAATCTCACGGTCATATAGGTGATATTGAAGAGCACCGCAAGGAGCTGGATGGGCCCCCGTCTGGGCTTGAAATTGGTCGCGAGGCGCTTGCCGGGGCCCCGATTGGGTTCTGCGTCGGTTTCTCGGGCTTTGCGGACTCTCAGCGCGAGGGCGGCGTCGCCACGGTTCTGGGGCCGCTGGTCTCTTCCCTTTTCCCCCACATCTCCCACCAGGATCTTACTACAGGACGTATGTTGCAGACTTCTTGTTCGGGCCCCTCGGGCACGCTCCGCGCGTTCAATGTTCGCGCGCCGAATGCGAGTGACACCTTGGCGACGTGCGCTGTGGCGCCTAAGACTCTACGCGCTGCTTTTCGCGCCGCGGGCGCTGCGCGCTGCCTTTTGATGGTGGGTCTCAATTTTGCGATTGAGGAGGAGGGTCGGACGCGCGGAGATGGGAGTGGGCGGTGGTCGACGGGCGATCGGGCTCATTCGCGGCTGTTTCATAACACTTTCTTATCATTTACGGAATTTTCCAGGTGTCGGGCGCGCGCCGGGAGAAGAGAAATGGCGTCGTCCAACGCGCTGCTCGCTTGGATCGGATTTATACGACTCTTCCTCAGGCCTTTCTTCGTGACTATGGTGTCCGCTGTGGTGTCGTGGGTGGGTTCAAAGCGAAGCCCCCCAGCCATCACATTCCTGTCTTTGCGGTTTTCTCGCCCGTCTCGCCCTCCATTGAGTTCCCTGCCATCTCGAAGCGCGTCGCCTCTCATCTGGACTTTCCCTCCTTGCTTGATTCTTTCATTGAAGACTTTGATGCGAACGCTGGCACCTTGAGTGCGCGGGGCCGTTTGGATGCGATCAAGGCGCTCATGTTTGTTGCTGCAAAGCAGGTTCGTGAGCGGGCGAAGCATGCTGTTGCTGACGCGCTGGAGCTCAAGCATCATTGGGCCATGTATGCGTTGCGTGGTGTGAGGATGAGGAAGGCTTGGGTGATTGTTGCCGCTCTTCGCGCCTACCCTCCCCCTGTTTTTCGTTTTGACGTGGTCGCGCACACGTGCTCGAACCTGGGTGGTCTATGTGCGCTGATGCGCAGCATTCAGATGCAGCTCCTGGATCAGGGGCAGGCGGGGCATGATTATTCGGATGCACCCGAGCCCATCAATCTTAACTTGAAGGCCAGTGTCATTCGTTGCCAAGGACTTTGGAGGCGTTTTCGGAGCCGTGTGTTTGTTTCTTGTATCTATGACGAGTCTGGGGCCCCCTGTGATTCTTTGGACAGGTGCGCGGAGGCTCTTCATCAGCATTGGTCCAAAGTGTTCTCGCCGTCCGACCTTGACGAGTCCATGCGGCCTGAGGTTTCCCCGTTCATCCAGAAGATTCCAGGGGCGCCCTCCATGGGGTGGCAGGTGCCGTAAATTCAATTCTACGAGTATGTTCGAGCGCGGTTTCACAGCATGCCTGGGCCTGACGGGCCCCCCTGCAGTGCTTGGAGTGCGCCGTAAGGTTGCCGTGTTCTCTACGACATTTGCATCTGTTTCTTTGACGGCTCGGTGACGGCTTTGCCACCGGCCATGCGACACAGCCTGATGGTGTTCCTTCCCAGAGGCACACATACACGTGATGCTGGGTCAGAGGTCGCGCGCAGCCCGAAGGATGCCCGCCCCCTTAGCATGAGCAACGCCGATGTCAATATTCTCGCGGGCGTCGCGACTCCCCCCCTCTCTGCCAGCGAGTCTCTCGTCGTTCACCCGCCCCAGAAGTGCGTGAAGTCTCGTGACATGTTGTCGAACATTGTGGAGGCGGAAGCCTGGGGTCTCGAGCAACGCATTCGCGGCCGTGAGCAAGCGTGTCTGCTCATGACCGATTTTTGTGTT